AAAAATATATATATATATTTTTTTATTAATGATGTAATTTTTACATATGTATACTTATTGTCCATAACTGGTTAGTTCATTCATATTAAACTATAACTTGAGTTCTATCATTAGCTCTCAAAAAAACAAAAATAAACTTTCTCTGAGCTGCTTAATATGGATTATCATTTTAATTTCAATTTTATAATACAAACAAAGTGAATTAATAATAAATAAAATAAAATAAAATATATAAATGAAATTAATTTCATATGAAGATTGCAATACTTCTTCAGTATGATTTTTGATTCTATAAAATGTGGTTGACCACATTTCAATGTAACTTTCGGAGAATATTAATAAGCAGCCATAATTTATTGATTAAACTATTAAATGTTGGTTTGATGTTCAATACATCTAAACAGCATCACTGCATTGTATTATATGTGCACATTGATTACAATACAAATACATAAGCCATATTGTATAGCAGGTGTGGCCAAACTTTTATCCCTTAGGGGCTACTTTTTTGGTAAAATATAGTCTGCGGGCAACTATGAATATGGGCAAACAATTTTAGGATTTTTATATGCGCATGCGTTAACATTCATTTGCATTGTTCATCGGGATAAATACAAACAGTATGGGTACGTTGCACAGACAGTCTATTATTGTAAGAATAAATTATCGAATTAAAATTTTTAAACATTAATTTAAGTGAAAGCAAATTGTTCAACTTTAGCTTTGCGGGCTACTTTCAAAACCTTTGAGGTCGACCAGTCAACCATGGTCTACGTGTTGGCCATCCCTGTTGTATAGGCTTATGCATGACCATAAGAACCATATCACCATTACCAATTTGACTTATAAAAGAAATACCAGAGGGTAATTCTGTTGTAAGTTGAGAATTATCAACATTTTTTCTAAAAATCCCTGGTTGGTTTACACTTTCATATTTAATGCCAGAAAACAATTTCAAATTCTGCTTAAAAAATTGGAATTTTAACTTGTCTATAATTCATCAAGTACTTCATTTTCCATAATAAATGATCAATTAAAGATGATAATTCAAATTACCATTATCAAGTTTATTTATTAATTTATATTTATTTATAATAATACAATTTATTTTATTTATAATTATTTTTGGAGTCACATGACTGCTCTTCAATAACTTTCTATAACAAATCATTATTTTTTAAATTAAAAATTTAAATTTTTTTATTTAAATTTCTTTAATGTTTGAGATAATAACAAAAATATGTCATAACACGTAACTGATTATGGAAATAAGAATATCTACATTTTATTACATTATAAAATTAAATAAAATTATACTTTGTATTTATTTATCAATAAAATATATATTAAATTTTATTGAATAATTTTACCCATTGCAGAGACATGGAATTTGATCTCTTTTACAATTTCCACACATATCTTTCACTTCATACTCAGGCATATTTGTTTTACCACCAACACATTGATCACAGACATATTTGGCCATCTGTTGATATTCATCTAATTAAAATAGTTTAATTAATTAGTTGATTTATATTAAAAAATCTTAAAAATAATAAATATATTACTCTGTATTATTATATTGTAAGTTTAATATAATAATGTAATAAACTGATATACTTTCAAATCAATAATCACATAAATAAATTTCAAGATTTACAGTATATCCTTCCTTTAAGATATTNGGGCAAACAATTTTAGGATTTTTATATGCGCATGCGTTAACATTCATTTGCATTGTTCATCGGGATAAATACAAACAGTATGGGTACGTTGCACAGACAGTCTATTATTGTAAGAATAAATTATCGAATTAAAATTTTTAAACATTAATTTAAGTGAAAGCAAATTGTTCAACTTTAGCTTTGCGGGCTACTTTCAAAACCTTTGAGGTCGACCAGTCAACCATGGTCTACGTGTTGGCCATCCCTGTTGTATAGGCTTATGCATGACCATAAGAACCATATCACCATTACCAATTTGACTTATAAAAGAAATACCAGAGGGTAATTCTGTTGTAAGTTGAGAATTATCAACATTTTTTCTAAAAATCCCTGGTTGGTTTACACTTTCATATTTAATGCCAGAAAACAATTTCAAATTCTGCTTAAAAAATTGGAATTTTAACTTGTCTATAATTCATCAAGTACTTCATTTTCCATAATAAATGATCAATTAAAGATGATAATTCAAATTACCATTATCAAGTTTATTTATTAATTTATATTTATTTATAATAATACAATTTATTTTATTTATAATTATTTTTGGAGTCACATGACTGCTCTTCAATAACTTTCTATAACAAATCATTATTTTTTAAATTAAAAATTTAAATTTTTTTATTTAAATTTCTTTAATGTTTGAGATAATAACAAAAATATGTCATAACACGTAACTGATTATGGAAATAAGAATATCTACATTTTATTACATTATAAAATTAAATAAAATTATACTTTGTATTTATTTATCAATAAAATATATATTAAATTTTATTGAATAATTTTACCCATTGCAGAGACATGGAATTTGATCTCTTTTACAATTTCCACACATATCTTTCACTTCATACTCAGGCATATTTGTTTTACCACCAACACATTGATCACAGACATATTTGGCCATCTGTTGATATTCATCTAATTAAAAAAGTTTAATTAATTAGTTGATTTATATTAAAAAATCTTAAAAATAATAAATATATTACTCTGTATTATTATATTGTAAGTTTAATATAATAATGTAATAAACTGATATACTTTCAAATCAATAATCACATAAATAAATTTCAAGATTTACAGTATATCCTTCCTTTAAGATATTAGAATGTCATATTGTAACAAGATAATTTAAAATATTTTATTTTAATGCACAATATAATGATATATATGTATGATTAAGTCAAACAATATCACAAAAGATGATCAAGCTACTTTTGAGTTATATTAACCTGTGAGGTGTCATGAGAAAAAATAATTCACAGATTACTCATGGTTGTTTTGACCAGGCCTTTTAAAAAAGATGTAAAAAATATAAGAATCATTGTTTCTGATTATTTTATATTTTCATAACAAAGAGAATATCTGAAATTTTTTAGCATAAAAATTATTGGGTTGTTCGGAAAGTAAGTTCGTTTTTTTTACCACTAGACGGATTAGTGGTATTTTTCCCGCCATTTTCTTTCTAAACCGTATTATCATTATATATTTTGACAGCTAGCATTTTATGGCTTATTTGTAAAAAATTTTGTATGATTTCGTGCAATTGTTTATTTTTTGTGTCCCATCAAATATGGAAGATCGAAAGCAGCATCTTCGGCATATTTTGCTTTTTTATTACCAAAAAAATAACAATGCCGTTCAAGCAAGAAAAAAATCGTGAGACATGTATGGTGGAGATGTGTTGACAGAACGACAGTGCCAAAACTGGTTTACAAAATTTCGTTCTCGCAATTTCAGTATTGAAGATGCACCACGTTATGGATGGCCAATTGAAGCCAATGAAAACAAAATAAAAGTACCGATTGAAGCAAACTGCGGAATAACAACACGTGAAATCACTAAGAGATTAAATTTGTCAAATTGAACTGTTTATGAGTACTTGAAACAAATTGGTTTCGTTTCAAAGCTCGATATATGAATTCCACGAGTTCTTAAAGAGAAATGCTCTATTTGGTGGGATATTAAGGAAATTTTTTTTGGAGCTTTTACCAGACAATTTAACAATTGATTCGAAAGTGTACTGCCATCGAGTAAACAAATTGAGTAATATCATCAAACAGAAAAGGCGGCCAGAATTGATCAACAAAACAGGTGTAGTGTTTTACCACGATAATGTCAAATTTCACACAAGTTTGGTAACTCGTCAGAAACTGTTATAACTTAGATGGGACGTGCTATCACACCAACCATATTCGCCAGATCGAGCACACTCAGATTATTACTTGTTCCGGTCTATACAAATTTTTTTTAACTGTAAGACATTTACTTGAAATGACAATGTCAAAAATCACTTGGATTGGTTTTTTGTATGCAATGATCAAAACTTTTATGAATGTGAAATCATGCTATTACCAGAAACGATGACAACAAATATTTCAACAAAATGGTCGATAAATAATTCAACAAAATATTTATTTATTATAAAAATATTGCATTTTTTTCCACTGAAAAAAAAACAACCCAATATTTAAAAGAAAACATATTAAACCTCAACATTAAATTTTATTTAACATAAAGTATGAAATATTGTAAAGTTTTAAATTTTATGGTTAAAAAAGATAAAAAACTTCAACCTTCATATATTCATGCAGTTATGAAAGAGTTCCATCATTTAACCACAAATTATATAAGTTCAAGTGCGAAGCTCTAAGAATTCCCACCATGTAGAAAAGACCAATAAATGCGTCCATTCCACTCCTTGACATATTGTACACATCTCATTCCCAGATATAGTTTAAACATATTTTTTGAATACATTGATTTGTATACTTCATGATGTCATCCAAAATTTCATTTGTAAAAAATAGCCTCCAGGCAGCAACAGGTGAATTCACATCTTTCTGTGCCTTCACACCTGAAAAGCATCTAACTAAATTGTGATCAGCTGTTCATCTATTATGTAGAAGACAGTGAATCCCCCATTTAGTTTTTCCATCCCTTTCTGTATATTCAGGCTTTATTTCAACTTCTGCTTCATCATCTTAAGACTACTCTGAAACTGTATCCTGTTTCTGTCTATCTACATTATCTTCAACCTCATCATTGAAAATAACTCATCAAGTGCTTCAATAGTGGGTTTGTCAGCAAACACATGTCTTTGAATTGCACTTGGATTTTCTTTTCTTTCTTCTTCTCAACTCTTCTCTTCTTTCACAATTTCTAATAATCTCAAAATTCTTTTTTCTTTTCTATCCATTTAGCTCAAGACAACAATCACTAAAAACTAAAAATATATAAATAATACTGAAATAACACGATAACAAAATGTTAAGTTTACTGTGAATAAAGCATATGCGATAAGTTGTGCACAGTTGAAAACACCATGTGTTAACAAAAAGCCATTTACTCAACAAGTAAAAAAATGAGTTACAGAAATGGCATAAAAAGTCAATGGACAAGTCTATAGAAAGATACTATAAGGTTGGAGTGTACACTATTCAGGTTTACGAAAGCAACAACAAAAAAAATCAAACATGGTTGAAAAGACTAGCGATGTTCCATGATGCATTAATAATTAAAACAGCCTGATTGTTTTGTCAAGACCATTTGGCTTAATCAATTAAAATCAGATTATGAGTTGTTGTTTATATATAGATATGCAAGTATTTTGATTTTATGTTTTTATAAATTAGATACAAAATATAACTCTGTTATTAACTTTATTAATCTAACTGACATTTAGCTTAATACCAACTTAAACTTTAATACGCAGTCAAACAATGATTTAGTATGACCATTTGTTTATCTATGAAATTGGCACTAAATCAAGCATGTCATTAAACCAAAGAATACTAAATAATAAAATTTACATGTAATGGTGAGTATTCATACATAAACTTGTGTATGAATGCTCACAAACTGCCATTGAATCAGTGTGATCACAATGGCAGATAGTATGGAAACACAATCAATTATAGATTTTCCACTTTGTGTAATTGGCTTTTGCATTTTGTTAAAATAATATAATATTGACAAAAAAGTGCAGTAAATTCACTTTACCTTCATCAAAATTAAATTTATAATTTGAATCCAAAAATTATTTGAACTACTATATTAGTATTGTCTAAAAAACAGTTCAATTTACTTTTATTATTTCTAATATTTGAAAGCAATTTATCAGAATATATCAAACAAATAGGAAAACCAAACAGAAATTAATATTTAATAGAGGAGAAGGTGGTATTATGGAACACTGCGGGTATTATGGAACCACCTCATTTCGAACTGATAATAAAGGCGAACTGTAGCGGAATGTGGCTGAACTGAACTAGGCAGACATCCATAGCAAGGGGAAAACCCGTTTTACTTCAGTTAAACGGTTGTCTGCATTTAATCAGCAAATTTGTTTTTTTCAAAATTCGCAAGTTTTGAATGCTAAGTGAATTTAATTATTTTTAAAATATAAATCGTGTAGTTGTAGGTTCACTGGTGCATGTATTCCGTTCCAGAGACTTAGGGGTACATATTAATCTGTGTGATGTTCACGTTTTTTAAATTTTGGTCTCGACAGACATAAGTTAATTCGAGATGGCGATGCGTGAAATACGGACCCCTTTGGTGCTTTTACAGTAATATGGAACTCAACTCCTCCGAACTCTCTCTTTGCAATCAGACATTCGTCCGGAGCAATTTGGGAAAAAGACACTAGGTAGAAAGTCTGAAAATATCGAAAAAGAGCTGCTGGAATATATATTGTTGATGGAGGTCATATTTTTCTATTATAAAAGCATTTTTGCGATAAAATACATTGGAGTAAATAATTTTGTAATTATTTAACATTTTTTGTCCTTTCCTATTTGTTTTTGGCTACATTAAAGCATTTTTTTGAAAATATACAGTAAGGTTCCATATTACCACCCGATTTTCTCTAAGCCTACTTTCGGACTTTTTGTACAAAAGCCTTCAAAAACCATACTTATAATTACACTAGCGAAAAATCCAATTAGGAACATTTAGATTACTAGTTACCAGTACTTTTCGCACAAAAAAATGTGAATGTAGTTATGATACCTTGTTTACAATTCACTAAAATGTAATTGGGGTTCCATAATACCACCTTCTCCTCTACCAATAATAACAAATATCTGTGCATTTAATAATAACATCTAAAAATTTACTATTTAAAGTTATAAGCGTAGCAGGGAGTAGAATTTTTTAAACCACAAAATGCATGACAAAAATAAAAAAGTACTATAAAATGTTTTATCTATACAAACTTGTAAAAAAAAATAGTAGATTTTAGATGAAAAATAATGTTCCCATAATGAGAAAAAATATATATATATATTAATTTTAAATAAAATACTAAAAAATAAAATAGGTTTCACATTAAACAAGATTTGTTTGCAATACAAGTTTAATAATTCACAGATATTAAAGAAATTATGGTATTATTGGAGGACTTCTCTGCAATAATATCATATGACATTACTAACGTCTATTTGAAAGTTTTCATTCGTGCTTTATGAGTATGACCCTACATAGGTGGGTACTATATCAAGGATTGATATTTTTACAAAGATAAGTAAGTAAAAATAGAGTATATAAGCTAAAGTAATAAATAATAAAAATTTTCCAATAAATCAATTAAATTTTGTTAGTATAAAATATTCTGGAAAGTTATTTATGAAAATTTGAGTCATAGCATATAAAGATTTAGCATGTTTTAAGTTTCCTATGATGTATTATTGTCACAAGTCGTAAATATTTTAATTTGTTTGTTAAACATACTTAAGAAGAAGTAAACTACCTTTTCTAACTACTTTGAAAAACACGAGTTACACGAGAAACACAATATTTCCCACCTTACGCAGCTGTATTCAGATTCAGAACAAAAAGAACAACATTCTAGATCAGTGATGAACCCATGAACTGTATCCATTTTATTTATTCTTTTGTTAATTAGTCTTTCTTTATTCAATGCTTTAAATAAATTGATCTGATCTGACAATTTCAAGGTAGCCACATTGATTGTTACAACTAAATAAAATAAAATTTGTAAACATGTTTTGTTATTTCTTAATTATTAAAATTAAATATTTATCCTGCAATTTGGAGTTACTAAATTTCAAATTCAAGTTTGACCTACTTTTAGAAAAAGGTTTGCCATCACTGTTCTAGCATATACAATAATATATACTGTATTTAAATGAAATACATTGTATATTCTACATAGGGGTGGTCAAAGAAAAGTGCAAATGGTGAGCAGGCATAGGGCCCCACACTTATCCAGGCTTCATGTAATTTGAAATAGATAAAATACATATAAGAAAATGCATTATAAATGAAACTGGTATGAATATTTAACTTGAATTATTTATTTGTTTTGTTTTTTATCTTATAAATAAAAATTAGTTTTATTTTAAATTGTTTATTTAACTGTCTAATAACAAAAAAGAATTATCTGACTTTTTCCATAACGTCTTACTTTTCTTCAGGCTATCCCTGACTTTAAAGTATTATCATTCCTTTTGTTCTAAACCTGAAGATGGTTACTCAAGATGGTTGAAATTGTTATTTTGAAATTTTTGTACTATAAGGTGCTGGATATAAAACAATATTTAATTTTCACTAACTATTCAATATTTTATCTTACTTGGAGGATAACAGTTAGATGCACAATCTTCAAAGGGTGAACTTTGTCCACCAATAGCACAATGTCCACACCTATCTACTCTATACGGAGTAGTACCAAAACATGCATGAGAACAATCTTTTTTACTTAAATCTTCATTTTTTCCAGTATTTCCACCTGCAGAAAATATCATCAAAATTAAAATGTTTAATATTCTCTTTAATTAAATAAATTAAAATTTCAACATAATAACAATAGTAATTCCATAAAGATTGATCCAATTAATTTTGATTTTATCCCGAAAAATAATTTTACTAAAAATTTAAATGTAAGCTATTAATTACATGTACAAAAGTTCATGGATGCCTCTGACATTGAAGAACTTACTTAAAAATGTTCTGCAAATATTTTCTGATAGCTTATTCACATGATTAATAAGTAGGCTTATATGAATAAATTGATATGCTATAAATACCACTCAAAAATCCACATAGACAATAGAGGTTGCAACCAAATTTTAATCTCTAAAATGTGAATGTCAAACGTCAAGCATGATGAGTAGAAGTTCGGCTCAAACTTCATTTTTTTGTGTTTGGGGTTGAAATTATGACATATTCTATTAAAATAAGAATTATTTAAGCATCCATGAATAATGTTGTAAAAAATAATGATTATAATTATTCAATATTTTCTAAAGTGATGTGAAGTGAGCACAGAATTCCAAGGCTGTGTTCACTTTTATTTTTTTTTTGTGAGTAAGCATTTAATTAAAATTTTATTTGTAGACTACTGATGAGGTATTAGTCTTGTTGGATGAGTATGAAAGTGATGAACGAGCCATTTCATTATATCACTAAAGCTATACCTGTGAATTTAAATGAAATGACAGATTCTGATTGCTTGTTTCATTTTCAGTAAGTGATTAAATTAAAGTAGAAATGAAAAAAAAAAGGAATAAAACTTATAAAATTTTATAAATTTAAGATTTTCAAGAGACAATTTGTTTCACCTCCATTCTGCTTTATGCCTTTCATTTGTAATTATTTGTAAAAAGGGATCACGCTCACTTGGATTTGATGCATTATGTATTTTTTTTTTACAAAGGATAGTTTATCCTAATAGACTTGATGATATTTCTGTTTTATTGGTGAGAACAAAAAGTGAACTTTCACAATTTGTACATGAAATACTAAATTTCATTTACAACAGCCATTCCAAATTGTTATTGAATATCAACAAAATAGAACAAGAGAAAAATTAATTATTTAAATCAAAAAAACACAACACCTTAATGTACCTCAATTAAAATTATTTAGCCATGTAATAACAGCAAAAGGTGCTCCTTTGACAAATTGTTGGGGGTTCATAGACGGAACGGCACATCCTATTTGTCTACCAATAAAACATCAAAGGGTATTCAGTGGCCATAAACATACACACTGTTTGAAATTTTAATCAGTGGTTACACCGGACGGTACGATTGCTAATTTATTTGGACCATTAGAAGGAAGACGTCACAACAGCAGAATGTTAAAAGAATCTAATTTGTTAGAGCATTTGTCTGCAATTCCTTGCTCCTAGACCAGGATCCAATTTGTTTTACACGGAGATTCTGGTTATCCTTTGCGTCAACACCTCATTACACCATTCCGAGGTGCTAGTTTAACACCTGGGCAACAAGTATTTAATTCAAGAATGAATTCAGTAAGAGAGCGTGTGGAATGGGTATTTGGGAAAATAATTCAAATATTTGCTTTTCTAGATTTTAAAAATAATTTTAAATTGTTTCTTCAGCCTGTTGGTAAACTTTATATAGATGGTGCACTACTTACAGAGTGTCACACTTGCTTATACGGTAGTGCAACACCAGATTATTTTAATTGTTTACCCCCAAATTGGACAAATACTTAGAATGTAATCAATAAATAAATAAAACTAAAAAGTGTTGGAAATAAAGCCAAGTGTTTATTTATAACTCACATTTGAGTTCGAAGTCCGACACAAAATAAAAATTCTTTTTACAATTTTATAAAAATTTAGTCTTTATTCAAAGTTTTCATGAGTAATTCTAACAACAATCTTTTTTCCTCTCCGTCCTGCTTCAGTCTGGTTTCTCTCTCTTTTCTCTCTAGTTCATATCTTGATTCTCTTTCTTTCCTCTCTAAATTAAATTTTTCTTTTTCCAAATCTAATTTTTCTTGTTCCAGTTTCAGTCTTTTCAACTCTACCTGCAGTTCTTCTTTCTTTAAATCCAATTCTTCTTGTCTCAACCGAAACTGTCGGTCTTGCTTGCTTTGTAAGTACGAGACAAGAAAGTTTTGTTTTCTTTTTCTCGGGAAATTTGTATCTTCGTCTAATAATAATAATAATAATAATATTTTTAGAAATGTATAATTATTACATACAATTCTTGTAGTAATTTTATTATAAAGAATTCTTAAGTCTTTATATTTACCGGACGGAAAGTCGGGAGACGACGGTCTTAAAGACACCACGGCCGCATCCGCGACTTGCAGCCTGGCAACGGCCGGCTGCGTCGATTTCTTCTCGGTCGCTATCTGAGCCTCGTATCTTAATTCTCTTACTTTTTGTAGAAGTTGATTACGTTCATTAAATTCCTCTTCTGTTCCGGATCTTCTCAAACTGACTTCATCATTCTGAAAAGAAGACTGTTTTAATATACTCCATTTAAAATAGAATAGGTTCTATATCTTGCCATCCAAAAGTTAATACCTCGTAATACTGTAGAAGTAAATTTGTCCTTTCCCGGCATCTTCTACCGTCGACTGTGTAATGCATTTGTAAATTTTCTGATATATTTATCCAAGCAGTTTTAGGATTTTCATACGAATAAGGATTTACAGCCACCACTTCCTTCAATAGAAGTATGTCATGACAACAGGAAAATCGCATTGGAACTTTCCTATTGTTTCTTATGATAGGAGACACGACTCTAATTAAAGTCAAAAATAATTATTTAGTGTTGTTAAACATTCTATAAATGTTTTAAAATAGTTTAATTTGTTTATTTACCTACGCAGGTAACCCGCGTCGATATACGGTTCCGCCATTTTTCATCAATATATCCCATGAGTCATTGCGCGACGCGTTTCGCATGGACTTCAAACGTCACACGTATACTTTTGCTTGCCGTACAAGTTTAAAGTTCGAACTTCGACCGCAAACTTCTAACCCTTTTCTTTCTCTCTTTATCTACTATACAGTACAATAGTACTTTTTGTGATTTCCCTTAAACTGTACATATGATTAATGGATAATCCATAGCATTTTTTTTTTTTTTTTAAATTATAAAGTTTTAAATCCATAATAATTTTAAAGTTGAACAGTTCAAGTATATTTTATTTAATAGAAAATTTAAAAAAAAAAGTAGATATTTGATAAATATAATTTGGAGTTTAGATTTTAACTGTGATAATAAGTTATAAGTCAAATTGTAATAATTGGAAACATAAAAAGGAAATAATATAAAATAAAAATTCTAAATAAATTAAAATTACTATAATACAAAAATTTTGAAATTAAATTCGTTTCTAATTCTTTACAAAAAGATGTATAATAATTTTGAGTTTTGTCTCTTCTATATTAAATTTTTAAAATACAGGTATACCTCGCCTTACGTCGGTAATTGGTTCCAGGAAAGCGACGTATGTCGAAAAACGACGTAAGTCGAGTTTACTTGTCTCCGAATCTACTTGTCACCAGGCTAAACCATAAATTACCATTCCCGGTTCTGTATTTTATTTATTAATGCATTTTTTATAATATATGGTTAATAAGAATCTATTTTAAGCTTACAAACAAATAAATTTTAGTTTTTAATATAGTACAAAAAAAGTAATCTAAATTTACGAATGCGTGTACTGTAAATACAGTACATACTTGTATATATTTTAATATGATTTTATGTGCTTTAAACGTTTTTCTAGTGATATTACGACTTCAATATTTGTGGCGGACAGACGTAAAGTCGAATAAAATGACTTAAACTTGATTTTTATTTTTCCATATACTTTTTTGACAAACGACGTATAATCGGGAACGACGTAACTCGAAACGACGTAAGTCGAGGTATACCTGTATTTTAAAAGATCTTCAAAGAGTGAACTTTGTCCACAAAATATTGCTTTAATTGCAATTAAAACTTTAGATATATTATTTTATCATTAAATTGCATTGGATTTATACATGATTACAATTGGGTTCCTTTCATACTTTTTAAATATGTTATTTTAAAATATAGGAAGGATGTTAGAAAGTAATTGTAATATTAAAAAAAAAAAAAAATTAACACAAGCTAGACTGCAATATTTCAATCAATTTTTAATGTTTTCATCAAAAACTGATTGAAAAAAATTGGTATTATTTAAGTTGTTGAGAGCCATTGGATAAAAAGAAAGTTTGCATTTGGCTTAAATGTTTGGCAAACAATGATTTAGAAACATATAGATGTGGCCACTCATTTACCAAAGACCTACATAAAGTAAAACAATAAATCTGTGGATACCTACCAGATGGTCAGTGACATTAGTGGCAAATCAAATCTTCACATTTTATCATATCATATTGATAATATTCATTATAACACTTTCATCTATAGATTATTGTAGTTTTATTAAATTAACTAAACAATCTTGATTTAAAAAAATTAATTTAAAAAACCATTATCAAATGATAAATAATTGGAGTAAAGTTTTTACATATGTATTCAATTCTTTTTTGCTTTGAAGGAATAATAAATTATTAATGTTTCATTTATTATTTATATTCAAATAATTACTTTTATATTAAATTTAATTAAACCTTTCAATTTATGTCCATTCAAATAAGATAAAAATACTAAATTTGGTTTTATTATACAGAAAACTTACCCACACATTCATTGGTACACTCATCAATGTATGCTGTTCCTTCACAATCATTATTGCAATCAAATTTACTATTTCCTCCACATTTGCCTTTACAATCCTTTCCATAATCTTTTGGTAAATTTGTTTCTCCTTCCACACAATAACCACATGCATTCTTTGTTGCACCTTTAAATCCCAATGCCTCACATTCTGAAAAAAAATATTGTAAATTAAAAATAATTCAAATAATCTCTCACAGGTATGTAAACATATTCTATTAATTAAGTATTGAATTCATTTTTATTTTTATGATAGCATTGGATCATTTGAAAACATAATTTCAATTATCTTCTTAAGATATTGGATGGAAAAAGGTACTGTACCTACAAAAAAAATTATAAATTCTTAATTTTAGGAGGAATAAAGGAACTATTGCTGTAAAATACATTGTTGTATTTTGAGATAGTTGTAGATAGATAAGTGAACTAATAAATAATGAAATTCAGTGTTAGATCCAAGTTAAGAAGAGAAGGCTAGAGATATGAATAATACAAACTAATAAGAGTTGCTACTTTTTACTAACTTAATTCATTATGGTGTGTATTTCATGTTCATAATTAAATAAAAAAAAAAGTATAGTCGACCCCCCTATAACACTGTTGATAATTCCGTTTTATATGAATTCCATGTTGTACGAGTCACTTAGATTTTACAAATACGTGTGCCGGGCTGTGAACGGCTCACGTATTTGTAAAATCTAAGTGACTCGTACAACATGGAATTCATATAAAACGGAATTATCAACAGTGTTATAGGGGGGTCGACTGTATATACTGTACAAGAAAAAGAGATGTTTGCTTTATGTGGATACAGTTTATAAAAATGAGCCCTAAAAGTAGTTTATTGAATATATACAGCTTTTTTTTTTGTTAATTAGAATATTAGAATTAGAATTAATAATTAGAATGCTTTAAAAATGGTATTTAGATCAATTTTTTTAAGATCAAACTTTGATTATATAATCGAGATACATACTAGTATACTTAAAGTACCATAAATGAGCAAAATGTTTCATAATAACAAATTATAAAAGAAAAAATATATATTCAATTATACGAGCGCTAAGGTGGCCTTTCTTTTTTGCTAGACTTATTATATAGTGTAGTTAGAGACATACAGAAAAACGATGTTGTAATCGTAGAAAAAATATTATTAAAGTCTGTTATACGTCACAAAAAATATAATGTTAAAAAACTAACCAAAATAATCAAAAATTTAAGAAATACCCACCGTACTAACTACAATGAAACCACCAATCATAATAACCAAACTTATTACTATAAAAAATACCAAAAACTTGTTAAAAAATTAAATTACCCAACCATCCAGGAAAGGGAAAACTAGTTAAATAACATAATCGTCAACCTATCTAACGTTCAAATAGACCCTTAGTAGACATAAAAGGCTATATATTTTACAGCCTTGAATTATTTTTAAAAGGGAAATTAAACGTTTTAAAGAAGTACCACTATAGTATAAAGAGTACCGATAACTTCATACAAAAATTGAATACTGTAACGTTTAAATCAAGCTACAGACGAGCCTCTCTTGATGTACGCAACATGTATCCGTCGATAAAACATAACAGAATCTCAGAAACTTTGAAAACTGTAACCAATGGATCATAGACATGACAACTCTGGTGTTGGAAAATAACTACTTCAATAACCATGAAAAATTCTATAGGCAAAATGATGGCATCACAATGGGTTCGGTAATAGGCCCCATTTTAGCTGATCTTAGCATGACCGACATTGATAAGAAGGTCGCAAATATTACGGGCATAATAGATCTACAACGCTATGTGGATGACTGTTTCATTGTTTACCATAGTAACATTATAAATACCAACCACTACTACTTGTTTATGAGATAGACACCGATATTAAATTTGACTTACAACCCGAAATCAACTGCCAGTTACCTTTCCTAGACACCCTTGTCACTAGATTTAATAACAAAACCACTTTTAAAAAATACAAAAAACCATGCACCGTTGACAGTATCATATTGATACATTACACATCTGAGGTACCCACTTACATCAAGAAAAACATCTTTTATATGTACAGTATATTGACAAAATCTTACGACGTACTACTTGATGAACGGATACAGCAGAAGCACACTCAACAAATGGATCAACACCAAAAATACTAATAAACACGAACATAAAAACAATACCACCACTCAAAATTATTTTAAAATTCCATACGAACTAAATATATTCGAAAGAATCAAATCTAAATCACACAATTACGGTATAATCTTTAACGTCAGAAAAACTTCCTTGTTTGAATTAAAAGATAAACCCACGTAATAGTTATAATAATATATGGGACAAAAGAAATAAATAAATAAAAAGTAATTTACAAACTCAGTTGCAATGCACTCCCCCCAAATCTTATTTAGGTGAAAGTGGCAGAAATCTTAAGACTCGGTTTAAAGAACACATAATCGCGATTAAATATAATAATTGCAACTCAGCTGTTACTGTCCATTGTAACGAAGAATGTTGCCAAATCATTAAGGAAACCGTAAAAATTGTCAAAAAAAGAATCACATACGCAAAAAAGGAGATGGTATGAACACCTAGAAATCCTTAAAAACAAAGACACTATGATGAATTGGTCAAAAACTACATGAAACTTGGTATCCATACTTGACCAAGAGAAGCCACGAGGGGGGAGGGGAGTGGATAATTAATGTGTACGACAGTTTCTCGTTATCTGTGCATCCTTCCATACGGTACCCAGCAGGGTGCTCATACGTCTCACTTTCACTTCCTCCTTCATTTTCTAAATTTCCTTAATCCCTCAAAAAAAAACCCTTTTTCGATCCTCCCCTTCCTTAACACCATTTACACCCACTATCTTTCCCCTACCTCAAGACGATGCCTTTCTGTTGTATCCTGTTAACTTTCCCACTTACATCTTGTGTATCACCACATCGTGTACAACTCTACTGTAAGTTAAAACAATTTTCTTATGTTTTCTCTATTTTACGGTGCACCTTCTTCCTCCATCATTCTGTAGTTCTTAAAACGTTTTCTATTGATCTTACCGTAATCAAGGTCACGGTTTCCCAAATTTTATAGTCTTATTTCTGCACTGTATCATGTATACTGGGGTGTTTTCCCCAACACTTTGTACAGTACCATACCGTTATGTTTGCAGTAAGTCCAAACTTTTTACATATATGCATAAATACACGCGTTAAAAAATGCCTGAAATATATATTATGCATGTTAAAAACCCCAGTAATGTATTATACAAAAATGTGGGCGTATTACTGATTACAATTTACTGATTACAATTTACACGTCGAAAGAACTTCTCCTGAACTATCTTCTGCAAACGTAGGTTTGAACCCTGAAACTACACTTCCAAGTTCTCAACTATCAGGTGAGCCATATGATTTTTTTATCTTCTTCTCCAGGAAAAAATTCATCTGATATATCAAGTATAACACTATGGAATAAAATTTCTGAATTAATTAATGTTTCTAATACGAGAATATTAAGTCAAATGACTATTATCAAAGAAGATTTGGACCAGATTCGTAATAGTATCCAAGAAACTAAAGTCCAAAATCAAAAAATGAATAGCCAAATAATTAATCTTGAACAACAAATTGCTAATTTGAAAATAGAAAATGAAAGTATGCAATATCGAATGGACAATATGGTTAATGCGCAACATCGAAATAATATAATGTTATATAGATATCCCAGTAAAACTAATCCTACCAAGCTAGAAGTGTTTAATCTTATTAATGAATCATTAGAATTACATGAAGTTACAATGGATGATTTAATAGCGATTATTCCAATAACTAAATCACAGTATCCAACAATTAAATTAATTATTAAAAATAC